CCAGGAGCTGCTATCCAACCCAAAAAACCCAAATGCATTGAGTCGATGCCAACTGAAAGTGGCCCTACGTAGGGTTTGCAAGGATGTAGATCTTTATGGGCACGGACACCTTCATTTCTCTGAGTGGTTGGTGGGTTTCAACTGCTGACCTTGTGGGTAACAAACACTTACCCAACAGTGCTACCGGGGCTCGGGGATGCTTTAGTACAGCTTTGTAACCAGACAAATGGGTTCACAGCCTATGTGGGAAGCCCCTCCTAAAACACCAGCTCCAAACCCCAAACCAAACTGACTGCCACAGAGTCGATGCTGACTCACAGGGACCTTAGGGGACAGGGTAGCACTGGCCCTTTGAGTTTTCGAGACTGTGCAACTGTTTTTAGGAGTAAAAGGCCCCATCTTCAATTGAGGAGAGGCTAGTAGTTTTGGACTGCGCACCTTGAGGACTGCAGCCCAAAGCATAAACCCTGCATCACAGGGCTCCGTATAGTGCTAGGTACATGTGCAATAAAAGAAAAGTGGAGGGTAAGGTATGTACAACAATGATCATCACTGCCATGGTCAGGTGGAGAAGCTCTAGTAATGCTTTCTCTCTAGCCTCAAAGCAACACTACTTAATCCTAGCAATGAACCCGAGGAAGAAAGAGAGGGACATAGGAAAGATGCAGGAACCTACAGCTTAGGCCTGATTTCCCTTAATGAGCGCACGCTCTTTACCACAGCAGATAGACAGTCCGTGGGTAGAAAGACCAATCGAGTGCCGACAGTCATCAGGTTTTTTAATGAAAGAGTAGAATAGGACAAAACATGGAAACAGTATTGTTTCAAGACACGGATGCCTAGATTTCTCCTCGGTCTGGTGTAAAACAAGTCCACATGGAAGGAGCAGCTGTGCAGTAGCAAACACCTGACTGGCTGCTCCCATGGGGATTTCAGCCCTGTAACCCTAAGGAGCAGTGGAACTCTGAAATCGCAGGGTCCTGGGAGCTAGTCATCTCAAG